ACCTGCACCTTCTGTTGTCATGCCCCTTACCTGCACCTTCTGTTGTCTTGGACCTTACCTGCACCTTCTGTTGTCATGGACCTTGCCAGGTATTTTGAACCTAAAGAGCTGCTGCCCTTGGTCTTATTTCCAGAGTCTCTGTCATGAAAGGGAAAGGTAAACTGAAAGGGGAGAGCTTTCCTATAGAAAGCCCTGTACTTAGCAGCAAGCTCTGTACATTTACTTAGCAAAGAATCCCCTCATCAGGACCTTCTGCTTCTCTCTCATTGGCCAGAATTGATCACTTTATACTTTACAGATCCAGATTCAGTGCAGTAATCCACATGGACACATTGGTACCCCAAACAAAACTAGCAGTTTTAGTGGTTTGATTATCAAGAAAAACAAGATAAAGATGGATAATGAGTACAGTTAGCACTGTCTTTGACAGTAATATCAAATATTTATCAAGATATATGTTTATTACCATTTACTAATTATTTTGCATAATAGTTACTACTATAATAATTTTCTATTTTTGAACATGGACTAATTCTCTATATATTCTTCACCTATCTCTTCTTAGTCCTTAGAAGGACCAGGAAATTAAATATTAATATTATCACATTATTTCTATATTATTTATCATAAATCATTAATTATATTAGCTGATGCCTGTTTTTACTTCATAATATTTTGGAACTTTGTTTCTTGAAATTGCTGTATTAATATTTGCCATATATTTTTTAAATAATTTCTAAGATGTGACTGTTCAGTATATTAATAGATTTCTGGCTAAAAATGTTATCTTATTTCTCTCCCCAACCTATTTTTTAACAAGGCTTCAATGTTAGCTGCAGAAAATGATCCATATGGACCCTTACCACCAGGCTGGGGTAAGCTGATATGACATTGATAAAAATAGGTCTGAGGTATATAGGTATCAAATTGTTATTAAATGTCACACTTTGTTTTAGAAAAAAGAGTGGATTCGACAGACAGAGTTTACTTTGTGAATCATAACACAAAAACAACCCAGTGGGAAGATCCAAGAACTCAAGGGTATGTATGCTACAGTTTTAAGTCATCATGCAGGATAGATGTATAGATAGAATCAGTGGGCTGTAAGTACCTAAAACATACTCACCTTATGATTGTGACTTTTATCTTTTAGCTTACCAAATGAAGAACCCCTGCCAGAAGGCTGGGAAATTAGGTATACCCGGGAAGGTGTTAGGTACTTTGTTGATCATAATACAAGAACAACAACATTCAAAGATCCTCGCAATGGGAAGTCATCGGTGTAAGTGGAAGTCTGAACTTTAAAACTGTTATTTAGTGAAGACAGGTTTAGTCTTGAATTTAGCCCCAGATTTAGAAACAAGATAGTTTTCGTTCAAGAAAACACACACAAATAACACCCAACTATAACTCTTTTTGCTCTATATTATTCCAGATTTATAGTATATCATTCCTTAATTAAAAATATATATATAATATATAATTTTATATAACAATACCATATATGTGCCAAAGATTGTTCTAAGCATTTTATATGTGTTAGCTCATTTTTTATCTTTCAATAACCTTTGAAAGAGATTATTATTATGTTCCTGTTTATTTTTTTTTCTTTTAACAGGACTCCTTTTTCCTCTAAGAAATGATAAGCCATTTATTCTCTTAAAAATAAACAATGTATAGTTTGATTGTTCATTGGTGCATATGTTACACAAAACCATCACTTTCTCCATGTTATTAGCAAATAAAGCTTTCATTGTCTAGAAGAAGGTCAGGTCTCTGTTAAGCATTTAGTAAATGTTCTAGGATGAATAAACTCCCCTGAATATGACAACACCATTTTATGTTCACTCTGGCATGAAAATGGTTTATTCACATCTGTTAAGACTCTTGGCAGTAGAAGCATGATGAGCTGCATCTTGTATCGTCTTTTCTCATTGTCCAGTTAAGTCACATGATCTGCATATAACTCACTCCAAGGAATTTAATTTTGCCATGCTTTGTCTTTGTCCAGATCAGGTTTAAGACAAAGGACAGGCCCCTCTCCCCCAGCCCAAGGTTTCCTTATCTAGAATTTCTTACTTCCTTAGCTTTAGGTATTATCAAAGGTTCCTTTAAGGAGCCTGTAGTAGAACTCAGGACTTCAGTAAACTAAAGGCTTATTGATAAACCTATCCCAAATTGTGGTCTCCCTTCGTACACATGTACCATTGCTGTGGCAACCTTCATGACTCAGGCCACCATTTCCTAGCAGACAGACCTGTACTTATTGTCAGCAAATAACTTTCCCTAGTCATATAATGGTCTAGTACACTCTGATTCATACTGAATATTATACTTGTGTGTGTTTTGTTTCTCTTTAGAACTAAAGGTGGTCCACAGATTGCTTATGAACGCAGCTTTAGGTGGAAGCTTGCTCACTTCCGTTACTTGTGCCAGGTACTACAGTGGTAAATAAATCTCATTTATAATCAGTAGTCAGATCATTATATAATATATACGCTGTGGCTTACATGATATGATGTTTTTGTTTTTAGTCTAATGCACTACCCAGTCATGTAAAGATCAATGTGTCCCGACAGACATTATTTGAAGATTCCTTCCAACAGGTAAGGAAGATATTATCAGACTGAAACAGTACTTTTGTCTCATTCTGAATTTCTAAAGAGAGTTAAAAGTTTTTGACTTTTAAACATTTATAGTAACTCTCATGCCCTGAGTGACTATATTAATAATTATATTAAACTATTATGTGGGCCAGAGACATACATGGAGGCAAATCATTCATATACCTAAGATAAAAATAAACTTCACAATGTAATAAGTCATAATCAATTATTGACAGTTTCTTCATGACTTTTCTTTCCTCATCACAGAGTCTGTGATGGCCATTTGGTGTTAGATAGCCAATATGTTGTATATAATCTTAAAATATATTCTAGTAGAGCCCAGTCCCGACTGCTATATCTCCCAAACAACTCCCATACCTAAGACTCAGAGAACACTCCAAAAAGGGGCAGTGTTTCATTGTCTACCGCTGTCTCCATTTTATAGATAAAGGCGTCACACTGAGAGACAGTCCTCCCACCAAAAATTTAGGTGTAGCTGGGTGTCATATCACATGCCTTTGATCAGCATTCTAGAGGCAGAGACAGGTGAATTCTTGGCCATGTAAGGCTACATAGTGAAAGTCTATCTTAAAAACTAAGAAGGAAAGAAAGGGGTGTGGGAAAGAGTGGGTAAAAGAAAAGAAAGGAACAGAAAAGAGAAGAAAAGAAAAATTTAGGTGTATTCTTACTAAAATAAAATTTATACAGCATTTGGAACAAGTCTGTTTTGACACTTACTTTGTTAGGATTTTATTACTTCAAACAATAAAGTTTGTGAAAATCAAGTTTAATCAAATCAAATTGATAGATTGTGTAATCCATTGAATATTCCATTAGTAACTTTTAAGATCATTCTGACTTCTAGGTTTCATTGAGCCATGATCAAGATGAGCATGTTTTTTAAAATGACATTCCTGCCTTCCTCCCTGACATATGACTGCTTTCTAACCATTTATGATACTTCATCATTTTCATAAGACTGCTCGTCCCTGTCTCCTTACTGGAGTGTATGCTGCATGAGAGCATGGATTATTGGTTTACTTCACCTCTGTACAGTACCTTAGAATAGTGCTTTTAATATAATAGTTATTCAGGAAAGAATGAATGAATGAATGAATACATGAATACATGAATGTAACATGCCTGCCTTTCTGGAATCATTTGCAGAATATTTTTAAAAACAATAACATTATTTTTTTTAATGATGAAGTGGAGAATTTTTCATGACCTCTCCATGTCTTCCTGTGCAATGACTTTATAACTTTCTTTATACTTAAATAAGTTTCATTAATTTTTAATTATTTCTTTTATTCTTGAAATTAAAATAAAATTATATCATTTCCCTCTTCCAGTGAAAAAGAGGCCATAAATTTGAAAAGAAGCCAGGTGGGATATATGGGAGAATATTGAGGGAGAAAATGATATCATTATATTACAATCTCTTATGTTTGGTTGTTTTCTGTATTTCCTTATAAGACAAGCGTATCTCTATATTTAGTTGTTTTCTGTAATGGTCACTGTCTATTGCAAAAACCTTTGTTTGGTGAGAGATGAGACATCACATCTGGGGTATAAGGACAACTATTTAGAATGTACTTAGAGATGATGCTGCTTTAGTAAAGTGGTGGTGATAGGCTCTCCTTCAAGATCTGACTTTCTTAGTACTGGCTAGTTGTCTAGCTTTCCAGTACTAAGCATGGTGTCTTTCTTGTTGAGGTGGACTTAGGTCCAATTACAGATTGTTAATGCCAAGGTATTGTGCTACTACTGCACCCTTAGAGTTTTTGTGCAATGCTGCTTGCTATTGTTTGTTTGTTTGTGTTTTTTTTTGCTTTTTTTTTTTTTTACAGGTTAAAATGGAATGGTAATACTGAAGGTCTAGAGACAGCCTCATTTTACTAGCTGTTAAGCTTTAGAAAATATAGCCAATGGAGCTGTTATCAAAGCTGCCTTTGTGTGTGACTTATTCTGAGCCAAATAATTGCATCAAGTTTCCAAGTGTATTACAAATGGCTTGTTCAGAGTTAAATTTGAATTGCTTTAGTAAATGTGTATCTAAATTTATGTTAGTTGTTATTTTACTTTTCTGTCTTAAGTCTGTTCAGATATGAATTGAGACCATAATTGCCCTTTAGGGAAGCCTATTAGTGAGCTGCGTTAGAACCCAGACCTGGGTTGGCTGTGGTTCTGATGGATGGTAGTAAATACGAATTTTTATCCACAAGTAACGCATGCTTCTGATTAACTTTAATGAAAACTTACAGATTATGAGAATGTATTTGGATCTAATTTCAAGACATGCTGTTGTATAAACAGACATCATCAAGTAAATATTGCAGATGAATTTCTAGCCTCCAGAGATAGGTGTGGTGTAGATGGTGGTGTGGTGGGACTCCAAAAGTACTTTCAGTATACAGTATTGCTACAGAGAAAAGGTTACCGGTCACCTGTGGAAGGACTATACAACTTGTCTTTGCTTACCACTAAAGTACAACCACTGTTTAACCCTAGAACAGGGAAAACTATATGAAAGCGAGTCAAAGAGAACTTGAGGGATTGTCAGGTTTTAGCTAGTTTATAGGACAAACCAGATGAACTGCAGAATTAAATATGAGATGAGGAAATGCGTACTTTTGAAAATACAAATTGAATTGTTTTGTAAGTAACTTATGTCATATATAAGTGTCTAAATATTCATATTTTTGTCTTTAATTAGATTATGGCATTAAAACCATATGACTTGAGGCGGCGATTATATGTAATATTTAGAGGAGAAGAAGGCCTTGATTATGGTGGCCTTGCAAGGTAAACTTAAAAACGTACTGCTTTGGAATAAATCTATTTTGTTATCTGTGGTAGATTTATTCTTTCAAAAATGTATGACTATATTTATGTTTTTTAATAGCAACCAGAGTTATTTTGGATAACCATTATTACAATTTTTGCATATGTATTTGTGTATGGTATGTGTGTATGTCTACTTGCATGAGTGTGGCACACGTGTGTGTATGGCTACATGTGTGTGGAGGCCTGAGGTTGACACCTGGTGTCTTCCTCTCTACCTTTATATGTTTAGGCATTGTGTCTTGCTGAATCTAGCATTCAGTATTTGAGCTGGTTTGATTAGCCAACTTTTTCTGGTATTTCTTCCCTCCACATCCCAGGTACTGGGATTACAGGTGGTCATGACCACATACCCAGGGCACGCATACCCAGGGCACACAGGCTCTGATGAAGAGAGATCTCAGGGTCTCCTGCCTACATGGCAAGTGCTTTATGCACTGAGCCATCACAGGGTCCAACCATTAGGATTACTCTTCTGTACATGCTAATGTTCTTATCAAATAGCTGTATAGTACTCCACATATGGGTGTAGCATAACTCACGGAAGGCTCTTTATTAATTTTGCTATTTCAGTGTTGCATGTCACTTTTATTTGTGCTGCTGCTCTGATCTCAGTTTATTTGGAAAGTGAAATTTTCTTCATTTACTGAATAGACTGTTAAGAGTAGATACTTGTGAAGTAGTTAGTAAAAATTCTGTTTTCCCCTTCAGCTGCTTCACTCAAATCTATATTGGCATTTGTTTTTTTTTTGTTTGTTTGTTTCGTTTTGAAGACAGTATTTCTCTGTGTAGCCTTGGCTGTCCTGGAACTCGCTCTTTAGATCAGCCAATCAGGCTGGCCTTGAACTCACAGAGACCTGCCTGCCTTTGATTCCTGAGTGCTGGGATTAAAGGCATGAACCACCACACCTGGCAGCATTTTTTTTTAATTTAGCAGTTTCATTAAAACTTCCTAAGAATTCAGATTTTCATAGAATTTTATACAACTAGACAACCACACTTTGGATCTAGCTGACCAAATGCAGGACCAGGTCACAACTGGTAGAAGAAGATAATTGGTGGTTGTCAGTGTTTATGTTATCATTCTCTATCCAAATAATTATTACAATTTATAGCTGCTATCCAAGAAATATTCATAGTGTATGTAGTTTGAGTTTTTCTCAGTTTCAGAAATGCCCAGACATTGAAATGAAAGGTACATCTTAGAAATGAGACAACATGGTATCTTTTTCCTTCACTGTCTGTTTTGATAACATTCACATTCTTTTTTTGAATTATTGTTTGTCTTAGTTATTTGGTTCCAGTTTTATGTTTTAACAGCTTAAACAGTTAAACTGTTGTTCTGTATCATTATTTTCTTCTAATTTTTTATTTGAATCACGCATTAGATGGTTAGACTCATCATTGAGGTGCTTATCCAAGAATTCATTGGGGCAATTGTTTCTATAGCTGTTACATGTTTGGAAATATTTTCTTTGTTGGTTTTCAATATAAACAGCAACCTCAGTGGACAGAAATGTCTTGCACAGCACTGTCTATCCAGTAGTCCTAGGTACTGCTTCACTGTTGTTTCAGAATTGAATGTGAATACTATGAAATATGAGGCCAAACCTTTGTTAGAAAATCTTCTTCTCTGAGGGCACATGCTGTCCTTTAAAGTTCACTAGTTTCATTGCAGATTGTTTGATCTTTTTTGTTTGTTTGTTTCTTTGTTTTTTTTTTTAAGGAACATATTAAGAGCTTTAATTTCAGGGAAGTTTTCTTCTATTTTATCTTTGAATATTTTTTTCTGTTCTATTTGTTCTTTTCTTTCTTCAGGAACATCAGTCATGGGTATGTGGAATCTCCTTTGTCAGTCAATGTGTCTGTCATCTTTTCTCTAATCATTCTGATCCCAGTGCTTTTCTTGTTTGCTTCTCTGAAGCCTGTCTTCGTGTCACTGTTTGCAGGATTGCCCTATGTTTTGCAGCTTCTCATGTGATTTTTCTTCATTTGCTGTTTTACTGTTTTCTTCATTTTCTTCCTTAGGCCCTGCTAGCTCCTATGTGTTGGTTCATGATTCTTTCAGCCTCATCTGTCTAGTTTGAGAGTGTGGAGCTGAGCTTGTGTTGAAAGTCGATTCTCTTGGTTCTTTCTAGTTAGGAACTCTTTGTGTTGGTATTAGGGTGAAGGCTTTTGTCATCGATAGACATTCTTTTGGATCAGTGTAGTTTTCTCTAGTTTGCTGCTTTCTAAAAGTGATCTGAAGCAATTGGAAAGTTTATTCCTAGCATGTGTGTGTGTGTGTGTGTGTGTGTGTGTACGTTTATATTTAAACACATTTTTTACTAGAATTTACCTGTTTCTCTTTTCTGAGGAAAATGTGTTAATTGAACCCAACCACAAAGCGAAGTTACTTAGTTCACTTACTATTTTGAACCTGATTTAGTTATATGAGTTGATATTAATTTATAGTTGATTTTATTTTGTAACTGTCTTCTGTAGCCCTCAGATAGTTTCAGGGATATTCTTAAAATTCTATTAATCATTTATAAACAAAATAGGAGACCAAAAGAATCACCATAGAGGTGAACCATGATGACTTGAAATTTTTCAGATTTCTTGACAGTATTACCAGATTGAAATGAATAATTAAAATTGTGTCTTTTCTTGACCAGATAGATTTAATGTCAGCATGCATGAGGCAAAAGCTGATAGATTTCATTTGAAGCCAGCCCAGTCTACTTAGCAAGTTCCAGGACAGTCAAAGCTACATAGTGTCTTTAAAAAACAAACAAACAAAAAAGACCAAGCAAAAAATGACAACAATGCAGGCTTTTCTTTAAAAACAGTATCCCCAAGTTTCTGCTTTTACTGGCACCAACTGGCTGAGTCTGTTAGGATAGCATGCACTCATCATGATAGATAGTTCCCACCACTGTATTAAAAAGATTAGGTTAATGTGCCTAGAGATTTTCTTTCCTTAAAGCCCTACCATATTTATTAGCAGGTTCATAATGAGGATTGGGGATTTTGGCAAGGCAAAGACCCATGAACTCACTGATCGCAATAAATATTTGAGTTTGTACTCTTACTTTAGAACATTTTGTACATGTTTATTTTGTGTTAAAATTTTTAAAGTAAACCAAAAATAGGTGGATAAAAGTTAGTAAGTACTTAACACATTTAAAGATTTCACTTTTTAATTTTAGGATTATTTTGAATACATTTGCTATGCAATTTGAACTGTTCTAAGAACCTGAGACAGGATGGCTACTACAGACTCAAAGCCAGCTTAGGCTACATATCAAATTCCAGACTAACCTGAGCTGTAGAGTAAGACCTTATCTCAAAAAAACAAGACAAAACACCTTACCATTTTGTAGCAGCAGTGTTATGTGCTGTAATGTCAACCTCAAATACTTAGTGGAATGGCTTATCCCTGGCTTAGCATGAATGAAATCTTGGATTCCATACCTAGAATCAACAACAAACCCAAAACAAAATAAAAAGGTTTTTAAGTAGATATTACAGAATGCTTATAAAAGTTAAGAATACTGAAGATATATGGGCATGGCTTTTACTTTTGAGGTTAATGTACATAAAAATATTTTCCAGATTGATATTGCACAATGAATGCAATGACATATACATACTATGCTCTGACATTGCTTCAAAATTTGCTAAAATTGGAATGAAATGTGAATTCACAAAAAAATGTCATCTATATAGGTTGAATTAAATGTGACAAAAGATACCCAAATCAAATTCTGATGTAGAAAAGCACATACATGTGAAAAATAGTGAGCTTGCAATTTGACTGTGCAGAATTAGCAGGACTTGGAATGGAAAGCTGGATCATGAAATAGAAATGGAGGAGAGCTAATAAATGAGTAGAGGGGTGTGTGTGCGTGTGTGTACATGTATGTGTGCATGCATGCATTTATTTATGGATCTATTTAAGATCATTTTTAAATCCACATATATATGAATACTAAAAGTAATCTTGACTTATTTTCTTATAGAGAATGGTTTTTCTTGCTTTCCCATGAAGTTTTGAACCCAATGTATTGCTTATTTGAGTATGCAGGCAAGAATAACTATTGTTTACAGATAAATCCAGCATCAACTATAAATCCCGACCATCTTTCATACTTCTGTTTTATTGGTCGCTTTATTGCAATGGTGAGTTTCCAACTTTCAGTTATCTTATTTACATATTGCTAACTTCAAAAGTGTTTTAGGGGCTAGGGAGATGGCTCAGTGGGTAAATTTCTTGCCAAGTAGGCTCAAGGACTGGAATTCTGATCCCCAGTGGCCTTCTTGTAATTCCAATACTTATAAGGTAATACTTAATCCTCAGAGCAAGCTTGCTAAAAAGTAAAGTAGCCGAAACTACAACTTTCAGATTTGATTTGTTTGTTTGAAAGACTCTGTCTCAATATGGTGGTGAGTAATTTAGGGAGACAGTCAATACCAATCTTGGGTCTACACACACACATGTGTACACCACATACATAGACGTACAAAAAAGTGTATTTCATAAAAATCTTTTGAAAAAGACTTTATATCCTCCCTTAGTTACAAGCAATTTACAGTTGCTGGGGGAAGTTTCAGATTCCTTAGTGGTGGGCATTACCAGTAAACTCTGTTTTTAAATAAACAGTATTCCACCCATGATCATTCAAGCAACCAAAATTAAAAACAATGGGATGTGTGTGCTAGCACATATACACACGCACACTGACATGAAAGTAGAAGGGAAGAATTGTTGGGAAGAAAAGTGCAGTGGATGAGGGAGGGGATAACATGATGATGGGAATATGATTAAAGAAGTACATTATGTATGGATTAAATTTAGGGAGAATAAGTAAAATTAAGAAAATAAAAAGCTTTGTTACTCACTTTATGTGGAGAAAAGGGGATGGTGTTATTTACTTCAAGGAAAATCTGAGTTACTGAGTAAGTACACTCACTAACTTAGTGCTTTCAGAATTTTCAGAGCTTAGCAGTAGTAGCCTTTGTGAATTGTCTTTTAAGAGGTGTTTATAATTTTTACACTACATTATCCATTAACTTATTTAGCAAGTATCTGTTGGGAATCTACAATAATTCCATGCCCATTTCTAGGCACTGGGTATTAAAGAATAACAACAAAATGGTACAGTTCCTACTCTTGGAATCTAAATTCTGTAATGTGGGGTGGGGGTGGGCATTGCCTTTTCATATAAGTGACTAAAGAAGCCCTCTAAAGTCTGAACACGAGTGGAAATATGAAGAAGGCAAGAGACTGGGTCACATGGATACCTTGGAGAAAAACACTTTGGGCTCATGGAGCAGCAAGGCAATGCTTACAGGGTTTCCAAATGACTCACATGGGAGAAAATATGGTGAGAAATGAGATTGAGAAATGCCATGTAGAACTTTTTAGGGAATTCCTGTAAGGGTTTTGAGGTCAGTTAAGTGTCATGAACTGAGTAATACCAACAAGAAATCCTCTACTGTGGGCAATAGAAAACAGAGGCAGAGACACAGACCGTTTGTAGAGGTCATAGTGAGACCTCGTAGCGATGTTGTTGATCTGTGCTGTAGTAACAGATGTGAGAAGTGGTTTGGATTCAGGTTATATTCTGAAGTTTGAAAGAAAAAGGTTTGCTTAGATTGGGAGAAAGACATAAAAGTAAAAATGAGGCACCAAAATGAACAGCTTATGCATCTGTTTGAAATTGCCGTTTCCTAAGAGGGTGCTTTGGGGACAAGAACAATTCCTGGAGGTAAGGAAAATCAAGAATGTTGGATTTCTTCTGCACTCAGGGTGCCTGTAACTATCCAGTGATAATTACAAGATAGATAGATATCCAAGTCTGGTGACAAGATATCCAGGTCAGAAAGAAGCATTTGGGGATTTGAAGCACATATTGAATATCAAAAGCTCATGGTTGTGTTAAGGAATAATGTGCACAGAGGAATTAAGGGTTATTTATAAACTGAGGTGACGAAAAGGAGTTAAAAAAAAAACTACCTGAGATTAGAAAATCAAGTAAGTGATTCTCAGAAGAAAATAGTAGAAGGAAGGGTATTTCAAAGTAAATGCCATAGTTAGACCTTCCTTACGTCACTGACAGGTTGGCATTAGCCATTTAGCAAGGTGAGAAAGATTATGAGTGCTGGCCTGGGAAGACCGGTGTGTATTCAATCATAGGCATCTGCTGTAGAAAAGTTCACAGTGCAGTATCATAGAGAATTTGTAACAATCAATAGTATTCCATTATTGTAGTTCAGGTTGATAACCTGCCCCAACCTCCTGTGTGCTGGATTATGGCCATGTGCCACCAAGCTCAGCTGACGACAAAGAATTGGATGAACCCCATAATATAAGAAGTATTGGAGTATTGTATAAAAGGGAGAAGTCTGTATTGCTCACAAAAGTGGTAACTTATTTGCAATAGGAGTATGCAAGTTCAGATGCTAGTGGTGAGCAGATGGGTAGACTACACAAAAGTGCTCCTGGTTGTTATTTCCTGTGTGCAGTAAGTTTAGTAAGTATATGAAGACAAAGGAGTTACAGGGACAAAGGAGCTGAGACAGGGAAACTGAATGTAGTAAGTAAACAATACTTCCTGTGGGGTTGCTGGTCACAGCTAACTAGCTTGGTATATGTACTTCTAGCTTGTTCTACTAATGTATAGGCAGAGTAAATTCTAAGTTGATTTTTGACTAGGTTTGTTAGAAATACAGTGGGAGGGTTTGAAGCAGTATAAGTGACTTATTGATTGAATGTAAGCGGAATAAGGGGCTGAGAATAGTTTTAGATATTCATGTAATCAAAACTGGTGCTTCTTCCTGTATTCATGCTGAATGTAGGCATGAAGAAGACACAGAGGTCCTACAGACAAGAAAGGAATGGAAAAAAGTACATGGGCCTTTATATTTCTGCATTTAAGTTAATTATTAAAATATTTAAATGTGGAAGAAGTTGGTAATAGTCTCATCATCTTTTTATAGTTCTTATGTACATTACGTTTGACGTATGAAATAAATTTTTCATTATAGTTTTCTATGCTTTGCATTTTAGTATGCTAACCTTCACAGTTTATACCATTAAATAGTGCTTTTTAATATGTAAAGCTGCATGATTTCTATTTTGTCACTGTGCTCTAAAGATTATTACTTTGTAAGTGTAAATAATTTTTTTTAACAGGCACTATTCCATGGAAAGTTTATTGATACTGGTTTCTCTTTACCATTCTACAAGCGTATGCTAAGTAAAAAACTTACCATTAAGGATTTGGAATCTATTGATACTGAATTTTACAACTCTCTAATCTGGATAAGGTTTGAAATATTTTTTTTAATTAAGGTATTTACTTGGAATCCATTTATATATTGTACTTATATGCACACTCACTATTTTTTTTTATCCAGAGATAACAATATTGAAGAATGTGGCTTAGAAATGTACTTTTCTGTAGACATGGAGATTCTGGGAAAAGTTACTTCACATGATTTAAAGTTGGGAGGTTCCAATATCCTGGTGACTGAAGAAAATAAAGATGAATATATTGGGTAGGTTGATAGAGCTGATTGAATTCATTTTGTATTAGTTATGGAATATAATTAGAAATCTCCTATAGTTACACTCTCAGTTTTATTAGTTTTTACAAAACATTTGGAAAGCTCACATCAGGTTCTTTCCCTGCTGGGTCAGATCCTTGTGCTCTAAAGCTGATCCACAGCTCCTGTTCCAGTTCCCTTTTTGTGTTTCCCTACAAGTTTTAGGATCTTTTGTCTAATTTTTTGCAGAATGTCATTGGAATTTGACAGGGTTTCCGTTGAGTCTCTACCTTTGCTTTTAATAGTATAACCATTTTCATGCTACTAATTCTGCTGCTCCAAGAGCACCGGTGGCTTCTATCTTCTGTCTTCAGATTCCTTCTTTAGTGTTTTAGTATTTTTACTTTTATTTCTTGGATTTATTCCAAAGCTTTATTTTCTGGCTTATTACCAGTATGATTGTTTTCCTGATTTCTTTTTCAGCATATTCATTACTGGTGTATAGAAAAGCTATTAACTAATTTCTATAAAAATTATTAATAGCTGATAAATACATATATGGATTGTGTCTTGTTACTTTGCTAAACATTTATTAGTTCCAAGAGGTTTTTGGTGTTGAGTCTTCAGCATTTGTCATATACAGTATCATTTTCTGCTAATAGAAATTGTATTGTAATGTTAAATACTACGTATTGTTAAATACCCATAAGGCTTGATTGCCTCCAGGGACAAGAGAAACTGCTTGTTACCTTGTTTCTTAATTTAAAACTTGGTTGAATAAAGACACCAACAGCCTATTGTTGGGCAGAAGAGAGATAAGACTGGGTTAGGGTTTCCAGGCTTGTGATCTGAGGGAGGACCATGAGGGGACGAAGGATGGGATGTGGAGAGAAGAAAAGACACCTTGGAGTAGGTGGATCATGAAAACATGGAGATGAGGGCTGCTGGCCAATTGGAGTTAAAGAACAACCCAGATGAAACCTAGGTAGTCATATCTCAGGGCTATTGAGAAGGAAGCAGACATAATAACATAGAGGATAGATACATGCCCAGCTCTAGTGCATTAAAGGCTTATTGTAAGTATGAAGGTTGTATGTCTTTTATCTGGGAACTGAATGATCAAAGGTGGGATAGAAACACCCCACTGAGAATTACTATAACAAGAGTAATTATAGCCTTTGTTTATTTCTTGCTTCAGTACTCTTATTACTTCAAGTCATATACTAAGTAAGTGCCTTGTCTCAGTCCTGTCAGAAATGCATTGAGGCTTTTTCCCACTTACTGCAAAGGCTATAGATTACTCGGATACTGCCTTCATTATGTTGTTATGATAGTAGGTTCTTCAGTGCTTATGTCTTGAAGGGTTGTACTTTGTCAAAGGCCTTTTCTCCATCCACTGAGATTCCATGATTTCTATTCTATAATCTCAGATTCTCAGTCTCTCTCCCTCGGTCTGTCTTTCATAAGTATATCTGTGTATCTGTCAGACTGTCTATCCTTGTGTTTTGGTGTCAGGTGATAACTGTCTTTATAAGATGATGTTGATGAACTTTGTTCTGGTTTTATGGATTACTTTGAGGAACACTGATATTAGTTCTCTGAGAGTCAGTTGAGGCCTGAGCATATTGCTTGAAGATACTTTATTACTGTTTTGATCTCACTGCTTTTCATAGGTCCATTTAAGTTGTCTATATTCTCTTCATGTAATTATGGTAGATCATGTGTGTCAAGAAACGTATTATTTCTTCTGGGTTTTTCTTTTATTGGCCTATGGGAAGGGTGTATGGTGGGTTTGGAGGGAGGAAAGTGAAGGGAGAAAGGTTGAAGTGGGTGGGGGAGCATTGTCTCAGAAGCAAATGGGAGGGTGGATGGGGTGAAGAACTCTTGGAGGGGCGACAAGAACGAGGGACAACATTTGGAATGTAACTAAAACTTTATTTAAAAAGCAAAAAAAATTATTTAAAAAATGTAAGTACTAAAAATGATAGTATGAATTTGTTAGTGGAAAATGTTAACTCTAAAAATGACATAGATATATACATACATGCTTGTGTGCACATATTTGGGTAGTATATTTAGAAAAAGAAATTTAAAGCTTTCTTGGTGTTTTTGTCCCTTAGCTTTGTATATACATGACCTATTTTCAAATACTGTCTTTATTTTCAGCTTAATGACAGAATGGCGTTTTTCTCGAGGAGTACAAGAACAGACCAAAGCTTTCCTTGATGGGTTTAATGAAGTTGTTCCCCTTCAGTGGCTACAGTACTTTGATGAAAAAGAATTGGAGGTTAGGCTCATTTATTATATGATTGCAGGGGGTGCTGTTGATGGAACGAGTGGGCTTTGTGTTTCCTCTCCATTTCCAGTCTCACTTTATCTGTACTCTCCACATCCAGTGTTGTCTGTTCCTTTACTTCTGCTCAGGTGGGCCTTGAAGTCAGGATCCCCTGTTTCAGCCTCTGTATTCTTGATGTGCCAGCAGTGCTCCATCATGTATAGCTTGTTTTATTGTTTTACACAAACTTTAGTACAATATTGATTCTTCTTATTTATCTAAAAGTATGTGGCACTGGGTTTTATGTTTTAAGAACAATGGTATCTCAAGGACAATATCATCAGTCATTGTCATCTATTAGGGGTCAAAAAGAGGAATTCAATCACTATTAATAATTTAAGGAAGTTTCAGAAATCTTAATTTGACAGTGACTTTCTTGAAAGATGAGATTTTTAAATGAATTACTAGTGGTCCTGACTGCATGTAAAGAAGGTTATTAGGTATACATCAGAAGTGGGTCTGTTTATAAATAAAAAGATAAAAATACATACAAAATTTACCATTTTAATGATTTTTAAGCATGTAATTCACTAGTATTAAGTATGACTGCATTGTAATACATCAAGTCTTGGGGATTCTTCTATCTTATAAAACTGAAACTCATTAAACACAAAGCTTCATGTCCCTCTACTTTATTTTTATTAACTGTTTAAATGCTCTATAAATGGATCATATTTATGGTTTCATTATTTACTTATTTATCTATCTGTTTATAAATTATTTTTATTTCATGTGCATTGGTGTTTTCTCTGTATGTATGTCTGTGTGAGATTGTCAGATCCTCTGGAACTGGAGTTACAGACAGGTGTGAGCTGCCATGTGGGTGCTGAGAACTGAACCCAGGTCCTCTGGAAGAACAGTCAGTGCTCCTAACTGCTGAGTCGTCTCTCCATCCCATATGTGTGTTTTTATGACTGTTTATTTAACTCACCATAATGTCCTCAATGTAGCATGTTTCATATTTTTTAAAGCTGAATATTTTTGTCATAAATAGTCAGAAAGGGGTGAAAAATAATCACTAAATACAAGTCTCCTATACTAAAACCTCAAAAAACTACAGACATAAAAAATAAGACATGGAGTGTGTTGTAAATTTGAGATTTGATATTGCTAGCATGTCAGTTCTCTCTGAGGTGATCTGTGAACATAGCAATAGTCAACATCCCAAAAGAAGATAATAAAATCATTTATTATGAGAACCTACAAAAGCTGTAGAATGGCCAAAATAATTTTTAAAGGAACATATTTGAGAGATGTTTATATTTTGATTTATGGCATATAAACAGAGCCCAACATGTATTGCCAAATTATTTTCAGTGGAAAGGGGGAAATCATTTTCAACAGATAAAGTTGAAACAACTGGATATCCATAGGAAAGAAAATTAACTTTGGCTGCTACCTCAGGCCACAAAGATTAATTTAACATTTATATTAAATATAAATATGAATGCCTAAAATTAAACAAAAGAATATTAGCCTAAATAAAATCCCAATTTGGAAAATCTTGGTAGTTTCTCAGGATATAAAGTTAAATGTATGTCTTTCTCATGTTGTAGCATATCTTCCATTTGATGTTTATACAAACATGCACATATTCATAATTCAGGTACAAGTTGCTTACAGAGTGTTTTTTAATACCATAAAGAAAATAGCCTGACCTCATCAAAAGTAAAAATTCTGGTCTTTAAAGGATATCATTATGGAAAAAAAAAAAGAAGGAAGGAAGGATAAAAGGAAAAAAGGCAGGCAGGCAGGCTAGACTAGGCTAGGCTAGGCTTATTGGTAGACACCTGCATTCCCAGCACTGGAAAGATAGGCTCAGGATTGCCATTCTTAGGGCTTTAGACTAGCCTGTATACCTGGTGAGTTCCAGGCCTGCCAGGACTACATCATGAGACCCTGCCTTAGGAAGGAGGTGAAGGAGAATACCAACAAACTGGGAGAAACTAATGTGACAAACTATTCTATTCAGAATGTATTTTTAGAAACTCCTATAAATAATAAAAAGACAAAGAAACAATAACAAAAACCCATAGTCTTTCTAATCTTTGCTGTAGCTAATACTGTGTTCCTTCCCTAGGTTATGCTGTGTGGCATGCAAGAGGTTGACTTGGCAGACTGGCAGAGAAATACTGTTTATCGACATTATACAAGAAACAGCAAGCAAATTATTTGGTTTTGGCAGGTATTTGCTTTATCTGTTTTGAGACAAATCATTTGAAGAATTTTCTTATAGAAATGGTTTTAAGTAGTTTATTAATAATTTTTGAGACTTTGGACCTGTATTTTAGCCTTCCAATACTTTATTTTCTAGATGGAGGAATGAATAATGCTTACTGGTATCACCGTATTATATGAATTCTGCACACTTTGAGAAGTGAAGAAGTATAGGGTTTCATTTTGTTGGTTTTAGATTTATTGGGGCTCTACATTGAGATAGGTTCTGCATGGACAGCCCAGGATGCTCTGGTATCAGCTTATTCAATGCTGGGATTATAGGCATCCTCTATCACATCCAACCAGGTGTATATTTTTAGTGATAAGGTCAATGCTGGGTTTAATTCTTCTGAAGGTGATAATATGCTAAAGAATTGGAATAATTCAGACAGTGATATACAAGAATGACTATTTTTTCTTACTGTGTTTTGGCTTAAACTGTGATCAGGTAGGTCTCAGATATCCAGGTGCACCGTACTAATACTTAAGTACACTGTCAAGAGACATGTTGTTTTGCTTTATTTTATGTGTTAAAGATTTTAAATCTCTAATCCTGGCATATTCTTTCCATAAGTATTTTTTACTAACTACAACTCATTTGAGCAACTTAATGGTTGGACTTCTGGTAATTTTCACTTTTATGTGAAAAGCTGAATTTTATATTATGGGGAGATTTTCCAAATGGTACATCTTTTCATAACAATGATTCCCATTAGTTTATTGCATAATATTTTCCCTTCTGGAAACCTGCCTTAAAATATTCACCAACATGTATAAAATGTATCTAGCCGGGCGGTGGTGGCACACGCCTTTAATCCCAGCACTTGGGAGGCAGAGGCAGGCGGATTTCTGAGTTCGAGAGTTTGAGGCTAGGCCTGGTCTACAGAGTGAGTTCCAGGACAGCCAGGACTACACAGAGAAACCCTGTCTCGAAAAACCAAACCAAAAAAGAAAAAAAAAAGTAAATAATTTATAACTTAAGTTCCTATAAACCAATTACTGAATTGTTTGCTTTAGGTAAAATGGTGAGATATATGTCAAAGTTGATAATAAAATGTGTTTCCCATGTCTTTTAGTGTTGTGATGTTCGGATCCACTCTGAGAAACCAGAGACTTAGACTCAATTCCAATTGAGATTAAGTGAATTTTTTTCTTACTGCTAGTAGGAGGACAGCCTTAAGTCCCCTTCTGAGGTTTTAAAGCATATATTAGAAAGGTGTCTTTTACAAATATCCATGTAATTCACAGCTGAGCAGGAAAATTACTTCCTTCATTTGTTTCTTATTTTCCCACTATAAAGTAATAAGAAGACCTCTTGGTCCCTTTCCCACAGTGATAAACAGTATTCCAGAAGCAAAGGCAGCTGTTAATACCTCACAGCCCATTGTCTTCTCTCACCTGCAGGCCACTAGGGGTCTCCCAGGCATTCCAGAGCAAAAGGTCAAAGGCTCTGAAGGGGGATGCCTGGCTCCATAGTAAGTGTCTTTAGTCATCACAGGGGGCCTATGTAAATTATTACTCAGATCTGACCACTAATGACTGGGATAGAGGAGTTCATTTCTGGGCAAGCAAAAAAGCACAAGACCATCAGGTTAGGGCTGGCTGTATATCTCAGCACAGTTCGTCCAAGGTTCTGGTCTGATTAGCAATTCATTTTGTCTTATGTTTAACTAAGCTGTTACATTATCTGCTTTCTCATTGTTATAACCAAATTCTTGACAAGAAACAAGGGAAGAAAACTTTATTTTGACTAACAGTTTTAAGAGTACCAGCCATCATGACAGGAAAGCGGGATGTAAGAGCAGCTATAGCTTTGGTCCTGGGAGCTTGCTCATAGCTATGCAGATCAGGAGGCAGAGATGGCCTGCTCCCTTCTACTTGTATTTCACCTGGTTCTCAGCCCAGTGCCATGGTAACTCCCAAGGTCAGGGGATTCTTTTTTTCTTTAGTTAATCCTTCCTAGGAACATCTCACAGACACTCCGAACACTTGCTCCTCACTGAGGCTTTTATTAATCCGGCCAAGTCCATAATGCCAGCACGCGTCCATTCCCTATTTGAAGAAGCCTTTTCTCAAGGCTTTCGGTTATATTCAAACCAACATATTCGTTACCACATTTCCCATTAACATTCCTCTTTCAGAAGAACTTGGCAGCAAACTTGTTAATTTTGGAGACGTCTGTAGTTTTACAGGTATTAGTGAAGGGCATAGAAAGTTTGAAAAATGTTCAATAGAAGAAAATACCACAGAGAGCAATGGGGAAGTGTTCATTTGTTTTTGTAGTTTATAAAGGGGTAGATTCAGCCTAACAGTGGCTGAGAGCTCAATGAGAATGGAGTTTAAATGTTCTACTTTTTAGCAATTTAAAAAGACAAATTAAATTCTATAGGCCTCCCCTTTTCTTGCATGTATGGTGAGATTACTAATGATTATAGCTGCCTTATACGCTGTTGTGAAATCTAAGTAAATGAAAAACACATGGCATAGTGCTAGTCTGTAGCCCTCAGAGACACGGGTACCTCTTAGAGATATTCCTGTAGTCAAGTGACATAAGGTTTCTAAGCTTCTCATTTATTTCCTGTTTGTATGACAGATATAATAGTAGCTAGTTGTGGTATTATTGTGAGGGTTACTGAAGTGATATCTATAGTGTACCTTGTGATACTACAGACACTTTACTACACTATTGCTTGAACTAGTTTCAGTGGGTTTTTAGTTTGTTTTTAACATTTTCACCTGTTTACTCATTGTTGATGGGATGTTGGCCATTATTTTATATTAAAGAGCATTTGATTTTGTCATACAGTTTGTGAAAGAGACTGATAATGAAGTACGAATGCGACTCTTGCAGTTTGTCACTGGAACCTGTCGCTTGCCTCTAGGGGGATTTGCTGAACTCATGGGTAAATTCGGATTCATTGCAGTTTCTCTGAAGTTAATTTTGTGATAATAGTATGTGTTAGACATGCAGTAGAATTAAATATAATGACTTATTTGTATGTAAATATATGGAAAATTGGTACCACAGAAAAGAAAGAGCTATTAATACTGAAAACATTGGTTAATATTCTATTGCTGTGAAGATACACCATGGCCATAGCAGTTCTTATAAAGGAAAGTGCTCAGTTGGGCCTTGCTTACAGTTCCAGAGGTTTAGTCCATTGTTATAACAGCGAGCATGGCCAGAATTCAAGGAGACGTGGTGCTGGAGGAGCAGCTAAGAGTTATACATCTGGATCCTCAGGCAACAGGAAAAGAAAGACACTGAGCCTGGCAAGGGCTTTTGAAACCTCAGAGCCTACCCCTACTAATACACTTCCTCCAGCAAGGCCACATTCTTTCAAATAGTGCTACTTTGGTTGACTAAGCATTCAACTCTGTGAGCCTGTGGGGGCCATTCTCATTCCAACCACAGTGATATGTGAGATAAAATGGAAGTGTCATCAAAGTTGACATGGCTACTGCTTCACTCCAAGGATAATTGCTAAGGAACCAAGACTGTAAAAATAGTTACCTTTCGCTCCACGGATGTAAAACTTCAGTATCTCTGCAGCACCAAAAAACTTCTCAGTGTAGATATTATGAAATTTTCAGTTTTCTCTGTATCATTCATATAACAATGTGACACAGTTCTGTTAGTTTTAAAGGACCAACCAAATAAGCATTATCTTATCTTCTGTTCCTAATTTAGGAAGTAATGGGCCTCAAAAGTTTTGTATTGAAAAAGTTGGCAAAGACACCTGGTTACCAAGAAGCCATACATGGTAAGTTCAAGACTCCTAAACAGGAAGGTGAAGGCCACAGAGGTTCTTGTTGTCTTCTTTTGTTTTTGGTAGCAGATAAGAGCCATTATAGCTACTTATTCATTAAATAGAATTTCAGCTTGCTGAGCAGAATCCTATAGTGTTCTGTAACTGAGTGCCCGAGAAAAAGTTAGTATAGCTTCACTAGAAATACTTGAGAATGTGTCTGTTGGTTCAGCAAATATTTAGAGTACCCACTATATAGCAAGTAGGATGGAATTACTTATTGCATTTTTATGAAATCTTTGTAGGGCAGAAAAGATGAACAAATAGCTGAAAGGAAAAGTGTGGTATAATAATTGGAGTGAGTCTTCTATGGACTCAGATAATCAGACAGATCCCTGGAAAGGACAATGTTTAGCTTAAGTTTAATAAATAGCATGGTATGGGGAAATGTAGAATATTCTTGAAATAGATGCTGAAGAAAAACACGATTCAAGAACTGGAATTTGACTAAAGGGACTGGAACTGAGTGAGTCAGAAAACGTGAACATAGTTGACTGATCTGACTGGAACTTGTAGAGGCAGAAAAAGTGAACATAGTTGGAAAAACATGATTTAACACATACTATTATTGTAATTTGGACTTCCTTATAATGAAACTTAAATGTTTATAGAACTATAAATAACAAGTAATGTTATTTAAGAGAAATCATCTAGTAAGAGTATAACAAGTGGATGAAAGAGATTGCAGAGAAATGTTAACATTATCCCTATCAGTTGATAGCTTAGAGATAAATGGTTCTTTCAGGAGCTCAAAGCTATTTTCATCTTAAGCCATGATTCAGCTTTTTTTTGTTGTTGCTTTGGTGTTTCTATAGTGCAGAAACAATATGGCTAAAACTTGGTAGTGTCTTAAAACAAATAAAAGCAGGAGTGCCAAGCTGTTCCCTCATACTATTCAACAACATGCACTTGTCAAAAACAAACTAAAGCCTCTATTTTATGAAGCACTAAATACTAAGTTTGCTAAAGCTTGGTGTTTGAATATATGTCTTTTCTAACATTAATACTCAAGTTTACTGGCATCTGTTCCTTGTATACAGTAATGGGTTTGGTACAGACATCTTCATGTAAATACATCATATTCTTTGACCAAGTTCAACGTCTTCCCCTTTCTTGTTCCCCTCCCCCATTATTTTCATTCATTCCTCTACAATCACTTTTATGTTCCATATACGTGTATTATAATCTAGAACCCATAAATGGGGGAGAATATGTGATGCTTGTCTAAGTTTTATTTTGCCTAATATGACTATCTGTTCGAATATTTCCTTACAGATGACATAACTTCATTCTTTGTGGCAGAGTAAGACTGTTCGCGTGTATATATACACCTCATTTTCTTTGTCCATTTATCTGTTTTGAGCTCTGTATCAGCCCTAGGCTGTTAGCATAGTTTGCCTTTGTGAATACTGTTGAAACATAGACTATAGGTATCACTGTGTATTGCTTTAGAGTCCTTTAAGTATACCTAGGGATGGCATAAGTATGTCATCATGTGGATGTTGTATTTGTTAATTTTGAGAATTCTCCATAGTGGTTTCCATAGTAGATGGACTACTTACATTTCTGCCAGCAGTACATAAGGGCTCTCTTCCTCACATCCTCTCCAGTATGGGTTCTTTTCTTCATGGTAGCTATTTTGACTAGAATGATGTGGTATTTCAGTGTATTTTGATTTGCATTTCCCTGATAGCTAAGGACAATGAACTTTGTTTTCTTTGCATTTTTGTTTTGGAAACTGTTTATTTCATTCATTCATTTGCTTCAGTTGCGTGGCTTTTGGTATTTAGGTTTTTGTTCCTAATAAACATCTTTTTTTCATTTGTCAAATGTATAGCTGACAGATTCTTACCCTGGTCACTCATTTGTTTCTTTTGCTGTGCCAAAGTTTTGTAAATCTATGCAAACCTATTTATTGATTCTTGGTATCACTTCTGAATTAGAGGACTCCTTTTGAAAGAATCCTCTATATTGGAGTAGTTTCAAGTATTACACTTGACAAACTTTAAGTTGATAGTAGGTAAGGAATGAAAAATAATAGATCTAGTTTTATTTTCTATATATACATAGACATCCATTTTCCAGCAGTATTAGGTGAAATGATGTCTTCTAGCATGCCATTTTGGAATCTTTGTCAAAAGTCAAATGGCTTTAGTTGTATGGATTTATTTCTGGGTCCTTTATTTTATTGTGATGATCTGTTTTGGTTCTTTGGGTTTCTATTTTAATTTGAAATTGGATAAGGTGATATCTCTAGCATTGTTTTCTTTGCTCAGGATTCCTTGGCTATCTGGGATCTTTTAAATCACAGCCTAAAAGAATCATTGTAGTATGTTATTTAAAGCCCTTTAGGTATACAGCTAAGGGATGGTATAACTAAGCTTTCATAGGAATTTTAAAACTGAGTTTTCTATTTCTGTGTAGAATGTCACTGGAATGCTAATGGAGATTGCATTAAATCTGTAAATTTCTTTCAATAATATGGTCATTTTCAAAATGTTAATTCTACTAATGTGAATGTAAGTGGTCTGTTCTTTTAGTGTCTTCTTGAGTGTTTTTATAATGGTTTCAATATAGAAGTCTTTCACTTTTATGGATAGCTTTGTTCATTGGTTTTTTTTGTTTTGTTTTAAAACAATTGTGAATGGGCTGTTTGCTTAAGTTCAATCTTGGCAAGTTCGCTATTAGCCTATAAGAAAGCTACGATTTTTATGTGTCAATTTTGTATTCTGCTAATTTCAAAGTGTTTATTAATTCTAAAACATCTGGTGGAGTTTATAGTCTCTGACAACAGAATCATACTCTGCAAATAAAAGTACTTTGACTTCTTCCTTTCCTATTAGTTTATATTTATTATTGCTCTAGTTAAGACTAAAAAAACTGTATAAAATAGGAGTAGAGAAAGTAGATATTCATTTCTCTTTTGGGTTAGTGAAAATGTTGTTACTGTTTTTTGTTTGTTTCCTGCTTACTTACAACAATGTTGATTATAGGTTTGTCTTATATAGGTTCACCTTTTTAGTATGTTGAAGTACATTGCTACAATTCTTTGGCTCTTCAGGGCTTTTATCTTGAAGAAATGTTCTACTATCAAAGACCTTTCTTATATTGACCCTTTCTTCATCTATTGATATGATCAGGTGGTTTCTGATCTTGACTATATTACTATGAGTTACTGAATGACTGATTCACATATTTTGTACCATTCTTGAATTCCTGAAATGAAACTCAGTCATGATGAATACATGTCACACCTCATGTTATGTGTATTAGTGTGCATGTCTGCGCTCCATGTCTGTGTCATTTGAGGTCATCCAAAAGGCATTGGATCCCTAGGAACTGTAGTTACAAATAGTTGCGAGTCACTATGTAGGTGCTGGATCTTCTGAAAGACCAAATAGTGCTCTTTACTGTTGAGCCATTTCTCCATCCTCATGAATGACCCTTTTGGTGTGTTTTTTAATTTAATTCAGCAGTATTTTCTTGAAAATTGTTATATCATCAATTCATCAGTAATAAAGGCCTATAATTTTCTTTTTTCTTTCTTTCCTTTTTTGGCCACTTTGGTTACTAGGGTAATACTAGCCTCATAAGATGAATTTGGTAAATTTCTTCTATTTGATAAAATATTTTGAGGAGTGCTAGTGTTAGTTTTCCTTAAAAGGTTGGTGGCATTTATTCATGAGTTCATTTAAACCTTCTTAAAAACTAGGTAACATTGGTTACTGTTTTAATCTACTTAAGTTGTTTATAGCCTCTCAATGTAATTTTGGTATGGTGGTAAGAGTATTGGCTTAACAGGTTTTCATTTTCATTGAAATAAACTTGAAGAACATGATCAGAAAACACTATTAAGTTAGAGTTCTTCATTGGTGGTGAAATATTAAAGATAAGATCCCAAAGTCAGTAACTTAAGAAAATAGAGCAACAAGTCACTCAAGAATGATTAAGGGTAAGGAAGTAGAAGGCCACAGCATTGTTTCTCATCCATACAAATGCTATGAAGTAAGTCCTCTGCACCAAATCCTTAAATGGATGAACCACAACCAAGAACATATAGTTAAGAAATTCAGAAGGGTTGTATAGCTAAACAGGGTGTGCCTCAGAAAATGAATGCCTTTACTGATTGGCTTCAGAGGAAACAACATGTTTCCACCTTGCTGTATGTCAGTTATGGCAAGAGATGAAGAGTTAAGACTGTAAGAGACTGAAAGCCATGAAATAGAAGTTCAGGCCAGACCCAAAGTTGAAGTTTGAGAAGGGGTTGGGACTTCTTTCAAACAAGAGAAAATACAAATCAGTATTCTGATCTGGATCTGGATAAAAATAGGTGATCAGAAAATTTTTGGTTTGTAACAACAATTTGTAATGACTAAGGTAAATAGTGATCTCAATCTGTGAAACAATTAGACTTAATGATTGTTCGTAAGATGAGGCATGGGATCCTACTACTGTCATCTTTATAGTGACATCACAGCTTTAAACTTCTCTACATTTAGAATCAACATTTCTTTCAGACACATGGGCAAGTCTCAGTCTCTATCCTTTATGAAACAACACAGACATAATGGTCAATTTCTTGAAACAAAGATCTCTGGGTTATTTTCAAATAATCCTTTGTCTTCTGTTATTCAGCTTAACATTCACTAAATTAGGTATTTACTATTAATTCAGAGATGACTGCACTTATTTTAATCTAGTGGGGGGAGAACAGTCAGTCATTATATAAATGCTAAAATAGAAACAAAGAGCTATGTAAGATGCTGTAGGCAAACTTCTTAGAAGAAACTCTAGGATTTAGGCTGATTGTTGGTGGGTGAATAGATGAGACTTTCACATGCAAGGATGTTGTAGGCCAAAGAGAGACAAAGGACATGATAAAGTAAGTATTATGTTAAAAAGCACAAAATAAGTTGATACTAGGCATCTATCTATCATCCTACACCTTCTGTGGCTTTAGTAACAGAGGGTTTCTAAGCGTGGTGTAAGCTAAGGAAGTGTCTCAGGCAGTGATATAAAGCAACATAGGGGTGAAGAAAATAAGTGGTTGCAAAGTGAGAATGGAAAAAAGGAAAACAACACAAATTCCCAGAGAAGTATACACAAGAGTGTGAGGACAGCAGGAAGTCAAAAATGGAATTAGCAGAATGACAGAATCTGGCCAAGGGTGTGTAAGACTGTTTTGGTATAAGACTATACTGAAAAAAAGGGGGGTGGGGTGGTGTTTCAGTTACGATTAAGACATTTTCATGGAGCATAGTTTAAAATGGAAAGCAATCAATATATGGTCTTAGTTGCTACCATCAATATATTCAACTGTTTTAATATGAAAAAATTAGTAAATCATTGGTTGTTTGCATAACTGTTGAAGTTGGCTATTTTTTCCTAGACTTAATTATGAGCTTTCCTAACTTACATAGGTGTGGGCAAGGACAGATGATCGAAGTGTCTACAATAGAGAAAGGTTTTTAAGTTTTAGTATTTTTTCTTTTAATAATTCAGTCTCAAAAAAGAATTTATGTTAGAAGGACTAGAAAATGGTCAGTTCCTAGATTAGAATCTAATGTGGTGAAATTATTTAAGAAGACAAAAGTATACATGTATTCACTGACTGACTGTATCAGAACATAAATTCTGTGAGTGCAGGGACTTGGGATTTTCATGAGTGTATTACCAGCTACTGGAACATCTTGCACACAAAACTCAGAAAATAAATGAATGAGTGGATGGACAAAATTAATTAACCTAAGAAAAATTATGGAGACTCATCACCCATGACAACAGAATAGCAAAAAGAAAACCCATTTTTAAAACCAGTCTTTATAATTTTGACATTATTTATAATTCCATTATTCTTTGGCAAATATATAGATGTTTTATGTCTTAAATCTTATATAGATTCCTTTATTTAATTTAGATGAGTTAATATACTAATTATTATATTAAATTGTTAGGATACCTTTGGCAAAGTTTTTACATACATAATATTCAGGTTTAAATGTGCTGTTAAAGAATACTATATTAGAAATATTTTCAGTTTATGTCATTGAAAACATCTGATTTTGTTTTTGTTTTTGTTCAGTTTTAATCGCTTGGATCTACCACCATATAAGAGTTATGAACAACTAAAGGAAAAACTTCTTTTTGCAATAGAAGAGACAGAGGGATTTGGACAAGAATGAATGTGACTTGTCTTGGAGGAGCTCTTGCATTTAAATACCCCAGCCAAGAAAAATTGCACAGATAGTGTATATAAGCTGTTCATTCTGTACAGTTAATTTTCTGAACTTCTCAAAGTATAAATGTTTTCTGTTCTTCCACAGAAATATGCAAAACATTTCATCATTTTCTACTTTATTTATTGTTCCCTTAAAACGACTGACCAGGAAAAAAAAAATCATCCTTAAATTTTGACGCAAGCAAGAGAATTTATTAAAAAGTATATATCTATATAACCATATATGACAGTGGCTCTAGTTTTATAGAGCGCCAGGTGTATTAAAAACATGGCAGCCGTTCATTCACAAAACTCTGAATTTGCTTTGCCTTGTTTGTGTTATCCAGGGGAAAAGTGCAAATGTTCCATGTTCTTCTCCCAAAGTGACATTGGATTGTGTTTAGCTGCATGGCTGTTCAGGAAGGTATTTAGGGCTTAAGCCAACTATTACTTTAAGTGTTTTTTTTTTTTTTTAAATGCTGCTGGCTTTTCTGAAGACAAGTACTTCAACTGACTAAGTTGTACTAATGAATAGTTTAAAAAAAAAATCCCATCATTGTTATATCAGAAAACATAGAAGTCATGTAATAGATCCAGTGGCCTCTAGGAGCAGCTGGAATTGATTTGCTGAACAACAGAGGTCTATTTACATGTTACTTTGGATGTTGGGTATTTGTGGAAGTTTAAAGAATCAGGCATTTCTATACTTGACATTTTTAAACTTGTAATGTTCTTCAAATTTAATTAATAATAAATTGATAGTTCAATACTTAGGTATACATAAAAGGTACTGAACTTTGCTGCTTTTGTGCTCAAGGTTTACTTTTATGAAATCAGAGATGTCATAAATGGATTGAAAAGTTGCAGAAGTATTTAAAACACACTAAGTACTTTTTATTAGTTTTTGAATATCCCCACCCCTTCCTTTCAAAATCAAAATTGCTTCTAAATTCAGTAGGTATATTAAAAAATCCTTCGTACCCCCTATTTTATATAGAGCAAGTCTTCTCCAAAGGACACTGATTTTTTTTTTTTCATTATAAGGGCATTCATGGTGTATGAAAAAAATTAAAATCCAATGTGAATGATACTGCTACTTTTAGCAAACTGGGCTTCCTAATTAATATAAAACATTAATTTCCATTTTTATCCTTTCAGTATGCACTGCGAAGTTCATTAACTTAAATTTTTCTAACTATGAAGTTCACTTAGAATTATAACTTCTATCCACTAGTTTAGTTTTGCTAAGATTTTATTTTTCTACTTTAGATTATGTTCTTCAGTTTTATTCAGAATTCAAAAATAAAAGCAGTAGTCTACTTAGTTGAATAAACTATAGAAAATCTGGTTATTCTCAAGCTTAAAGAATTTTTTTAATTCTAATATATGACAAGTTATATAGTAAATGATGGCCAGTCTTCAAAAGTCCTGCATAAATTATTCTGTAAAATAATAAACTTGCTATGACAGAAAGTATTGGCTTTCATTCAGTGGAGGTATTTGAGACTATCTTTTTGCAGATATGGTTCAAGGTGGCTTTCAGGTACCATTTCAAGGAGCTGTTCCCTTTTGTTAAGTTACCTCACATGAGTAACAGAACCCACAAGATCAGACCAGCTTTCTGGGGAAGACTAGTTTGCAGACCTCATCAGACTCTTTGTATCTTTCATCATACCAGTTATAGATTTCAGACCTAAAAACTTGTTTACCTACCCAGTAGTCAACATAAAGTCTTTAAAAGAGATGTGATTCACCTCCTGCTGTCTCTCCTTCCCATCCCTGTTCTGAACTGGACCCTCTACACTTGGCTCACTGAATACAGTCAGAGAAAGTAGGAGGTGAGGAGGACCGGGAGGCAGGTTAATAATGATACTTTATTATACTGACAGTTCCCAACATCACCAATAAATTGAGCTTAGGGAATGGATTATCGACTTAAAACAAGTTTTACCAATCAGCTCAGTCATCTGTCTTTGGGAAAGAAGCTACTATTTTTTTTTCTCTTCTGTATTGTTTTTCTGTACTTCTTAGGCAGTTGAAAATGAAAATGTTAACATTTTCTCCAGCTGACTTCAATTATCCTCCTAGATCTAGGTGTTCTAAATTAGGTATTGTATATCCACTCCATCATTAGATACTTGTGTTTGGGGTTCAAAAAGACCCTAACTAGTAAGCTGTTGCTGAGCTGAGAAAGCTCCTGACATATAGGAGGGAGCTGTAACTGCGTTTCCCTGAATCTGAAAAGTCTTAATATTGCATGACTTAAACTGTCACTTTAGGAGACTATGGATCTTGGGGAACCACGTGATGTTCCTGCTCCATTACTACTATATGTTCATTTTCACAAAGGAGGTCTAACCTTGTACTGGTAGCTAGTCAAGGTTTCTGCACTGCAGTATTCTGAGTTAAGGGATACCAGAAAATGTTGTTTACTGCAGACTTACTGGATCCCAATATTTAATTAAATAACATAATCTAAGTAAACACTGAAGTAACAAATCAGTTGTTGAAACATGAAATAAAAGTTCTCCTGTAACATATCCAACTTTCTTTAATCTGTTGAACACAGAAATCAAGTTTAAAGTCAACTGGAAATTTGACACTAATCTAAGTGTGCTCTTTCCTTAATTCTAAAAGTTCTACTCCAAAAGTCAACAAAATGTAATTAAAATGATGGTATTTCTTTTTAGTACTGATTCTATGTCTTTTTCATGAACAATTATTTTGGTCCTTGTGATTAACATAGTGTCTTGCTTTCATTACGCATTTTTTATAAAACAAGACAAGTCTTACCAAGCCATGTTATTTTGTAATATCCATTGCCTGTTGGTGGGCCGTACTGGTAATACTTTGTTATCAAGAAGTGACAAAGGTTCAGTGCTAAACATCAGGGGAAAGAGGGAAGCCAAATAACCAAAAAAAGACCCCCAGCTTTCTCCTGGTGTCCTCAGAGACCTGGGCTCCCCTATCTACTTCACTACCAATAAACCCAAATTCAGGTTTCACACATTCTCAAAGACAGCAGACACACTTAAGGAGAGGAAATCACTATTGCCTGTGACCTATTTTTTCTTCTCAAGTAATCTGCCTTCTACTTTGATGTCTTTTTTAAAAAAATTTGGATCCACATGCAGTATTCATCTGATCCTATAATGGCTTAACAAGATCATCTTCAATTCCATCCTTTGACTGCAAAATGAAGTAATTTCACTTTTTATGACTGAATAAAACTGGTTTTCGAATCCTATAATGGCTTAACAAGATCATCTTCAGTTCTATCCTTTGACTGCAAAATGAGGTAATTTCACTTTTTATGACTGAATAAAACTGGTTTGCAAATATATTTTGTTTGTACACTTGGTGGATGTCTACATTGATTCCATAACTTGTTTGTAAACAATGCCACAATAAATACCAATGTAAAATACCTTTATTTTTAATAGCCACAAAAAAACTAAATACCTTCAGCAGATGGATAAAATGGTTTATTCATATAATAAAATATTAACACTAAAAGGAAAAACTATTGATTGAACTTAGTTATTAGAGGATCTGGCTAAGTGAAAAGGCACAGTCTCAAAAGGTCATATTCTATAAGATTACATTTGCCTATGACTTTTAAAATGACAAATATATAACAGATTAGTTGTTGTGTGTATTCAGAATGTGAGAGGGACTGAAAGTGGCTATGTGTGACTATAAAGAGCACTAAGTCTCTGAAATAAAACAAATCTGTATCTTGCTTGTGGTGGTAGTTATAAAAAATATTTAGAAATAACATTAAGAGCTAGACATAACGTGAGGACACCTAAGCGTCCTAAAAACCCGAATTAAGGTCTATAGATACCATTACGTTTCCTAGTTCTGTATTATACCTTAGTTTCATGTCATCCAAGGGCAAAGAAGAAGATGGGTATTTAGAACCCGCTTGTACTACATTATGTAACTTATTATGAATCTTAATTATTTTAAAATAATGTCCTATAAAGTATCAAAAGATAGACTCCCCATCTATACAAGTCTGTTTACTGAAAAATATTTCATTTCACAAAAATAATTTCTTGTTATGAGTGCTAAGAAGTAATTCCAGAACTTTGTGCTGGTAACAAATTGTACTAGAAAAGCCATTCTAACAAATCCACAAGAGCAACTGGCATATTCATCTGGTAAAGCCCTTAGTTAAGAAGTGCAAGGACTTGGATCTTAATGTAAAAACATTGAAATTCTTTTGCATAATAATACTAATAAGAATTAGATAAACTGGATATGAAAAGTAGCTGAAGTTCATAACTAGACAAGGAAGACATGAAGTGGCTGTTGAATAGGAGGGGAAAGATGAAGAAAAAGACAAAAAGAAAATGAAGGTAATTATCATGCTTTGAAGCAATCAGACCACCTAAAGCAAAACAAAGTGTATCAAAATGGGAATGAACTTAGGAAATGAAGCAGTAGTTAATTTCAAAGTCATGACTGTGAGAGCCAAGGAAGACTGAATATAGTTAACTGGAGTCTCAGAAGACAGGACGGAACGTGGTTCTCAGAGGCTCATCTGGACTGAAGGACAGCTGATAACAACAACTGCATTGGCCTCTCATGAAAGTCTTGTGTTGTAAGAAGAGGGGATAAGTTTTCTATAATAAAACCAACTGTGCTGCAAATCAAATTTTGGTCTCCAAAAGCAGGTTTTGGGGACAGTTAAGAAAATCTGAGTATGTATTGTTTAGAGGTGATGTAGTATGCATAATAATATATTTGTATTTGCTTAGGAAGATGTACTTATTTTGAAAAGCAGCAGAGTTTAAGGATTAGATAAAATCTGCAATTTCAAAGGTTTAAAGATGCATTATATGTGATTAGATATACACATATAAAAACCCACATAACAAAATATTAATACCTTAAATCCAAGAACAGGATGTACTTCCAATGTTTGTTTATGTCTTAAAGTTTGCACAGTAAAACAGGAACAGCACATACCTACACATTTTGCTATAATTTTTTAAACATTACAATTCTCAGCTCTAGTTGTTGCAAAATGTAGGTTTACAGTGGTGCCATATCAGACTCCCGTTTTAGTACTCTGCCTGGTAAATGTCTATTCCCTTTCACCCTGAAATCTATGTCCCTCCATTCTACAAAGGATTAGTTTGTCAAGTGACTAATCAACCCACCTATGGAGGTATACTACATTAAAAAAAAAAGTTCTACGGAATTTTTCCTTATTCAGGTTGCCTCTAAGACACACATCAGTTAAGTTATGCCAAAACCCCTCAACATCATAAATACTTAGCTTCTCTTAGATAGCAACTTAGTCCATTGTAACATGAAAACCATTCTGTCATTGCCACCTGTTCACAAAGCTTTTTGAAAACGTTTCATCCTGAAGTGACTAATACTTACATACCCCATACCATTTTTTTTCTCTTGATGTCCCAAATGTCTGTCTGAACCAGGGAAGTGTGTTGCTGCCATTCTTAGGGCAATGTGGAAGTTTACTTATGAAGAAACCCAGAAGTTTTTACATTTATTCTGTAAAATGGTCACACATAAAAGAACTAAGAAAAAAGCCATACAATCATTATGAAGGTTAATATATCATGTTTATAAGTCAGTGAAATACAAAGTATTAGGTATGTTGTTGCCTTCTCCAAAATGTTCTCAGTTCTTGTCACAGACCTGTAAGCAACTGAGCAGCTTCTGTCTGTATCTAAAGTGGAAAACACATGTTACATATGAATAGTGCAGCCTAATTTATAAAGCTTAAGTATATAAAATAGATTGGTTTCTAAGAGTTTCAACATGACAAAGATAGGACATGGTAAAAATAAGTTCTCTTGACAGCGATGATTAGATGAGATTCTATGAAAACTCTACTTCATTTCCTTAAACTCTTCACACCCCGCCCCCAATCATACTCCCTTGCAGTGTCAGAAATTAAACCAGGGCCTTGTGCATGTTAGTAAGTACCTATAGCCAAGCTGACTTTCATGTTGTAGAAATAACCTGTGATGAGATACGCATTACAGATGTACATCAGTTCTACACTGCAGCAAGCAGCTTACAACATTTGATGATAGTCACCAAGGAGTTCTCATGGTAAAGTAGAAAGGTAAATATACAAATGAGCACTTTGTTTTCCACAATACTATGCATCCAAACAATTATGCTTTAAAGAAGTTCTCAGTTCATTTTTTACTAATGCCTCAAAGCCTATCTGCCTTACTTTATTATAGATATTTTACCTGTTTATCCTCTTCTGTGTGTGCTGGATAGCCCTTGGCTTTTACCAACCAGAATGCAGCAAGCTTTTTGTTGTTTAGCTTCAAGTATGTCTTTCCTAAAAGCAGCAAGTTTTTGCTGTAGAAGTTTGGATCCACTGTACATAAAAAGGGGAAACAAAGTCAACTCCAAAGAAATAGTGTCTTTATTTTTATAGTTTTAATACTTTGGTCTGAATTCTAATAAAACTGTGCGATTAAACAATGATTAGGCTAATACAATTCTTTTTTGTTCAAATGTTCTTATCTAGAAAAAAACCCTAAAATAATTATGATGTATTGAATGTACGTGTGAACTGTGCACATTATTATACTAAGGTCTCACTTTAAAGTTTCTTCATGCTGATAGGACATGAGCTATGTAAGAACTACCCATCATTATTACATTCCAATTGCCTAGAACAGTGTAGAGAAAGTAACGCCCGTTCAATGAGTGAGTATGGGAGTGCATGAATGAAATCATGGTTAACATAAATTTGACCTTCATTTGCTAAATGTCTCCTATACTTAAGCAGAGAGGGACAGATGAACACAACTAAATGATTTACTAGGTATATACTTCAAATCGCTACAAGAAGCTACATAAGAAAGCAATGAATTAAGAGTTATGCATCTTGGAGGATGAACAGGATTTTGAACAGAAAAAGCTGAGAATATTCTTGGTTGAAAAAAAAATGCAAACAAAGCCCAGGAGTGTGAGAGTAGAATAGTGCTAATCAGAATCTGGGAAGGAGGAAGAAGAATCGACAGAGGCTGCTTAGGGAGCCACAAAATCCAACACAGTAGGGAACTAGGACAACTTATTGCAGAGTTTTAGAAGAGACAGAAGACCTCAGCACTTCCCAAAACAAAGAAGAATCCTTGAGATCTAGATAATTGCTGTGGTTTGATTTACATCTTATATGACTAAACTGGAGTACCAATGCTCCATAAATATTTACAATTATATGTTAAATAATTTTAAGTACAAAAGAATCCTCTATTTTTTTAAAGAATTCTGCAGTGTAGTAATGTAAGTCACTGGCACAAGCCCTTGGCCTCCTGAGTGATGATGACCACAGACACACACCATTACACTCAGCTCTAATTTCCCTGACTCTTCACATACTTCCCTCCTAGTAATCTTAGTCTTTCTGTATGCCAAGCATGCTGTCTGAGACCAGAGTAGAGCTTAGTAATACAACACATGCCTAGCACATAAGTTCAAAAAACTGCTTTTTTTCCTGGATACAATTTATTATTAACTGCATTTACTTAAAACTCAAAGGCCATTAATTTCATTGATTTACACATTTTAAGGTTAAGTACACTAATTTATGTACTCACTACCTCATCTAGGAAGTCATCCAAGTACTGTATGTAAGCAACAGAAATATAATCATAAGGCAAAAGGGAAAAAGAATCCCACCTTACTCTGAATTCCAATTTTTTAAAAAAGTTAAAATTTGGGGCTAGAGAGAGGGCTCACCAGTTAAGATTACTGGGTGCTCTCTCAGGGTTTAATTCCCACCACCAAAATGGTAACTCACAGCTGTCTGTTAACTCCAGTCTTGGAAGGATGCCCTCTTCTGGTCTCTGAGGGCACCAGTCATACATGTTGTACATAGACATATATTCAGGAGAAATAGCCAAACATAATTTTTTTTTTTTACTCAAACACATAAATGTTTTTGTTTAAATTTGTTTTACATTTCCAGTGTGAAAGATATAGCACATTCTTGATTTAAAATGTTCTATGACATAGTCAACACTTAGATAATATTATATTAATAGCTGAAATAAAATTATTTTTACCTTCTTCTGCCCTGTGAAAGTATCTCAATGCCTGTTAAGAATACAAAGAATACAAATAAAATAGACTCAATAACTTTAGAAAAAGGGTTTTTTAAAGATTTATTCTTACTATTAAAGGTTTCAGAAAGTAAATGATTATAAAATAAATGATAAGATCAGCAAGGAATATAACTTAAATCATCAAAGACTGGGATTTTCATAATGAGAATCACTTCTAGTAATTTTCTGGTTGCTACGCAGAGGTAGTACCACACTATCCTGGCACAAAGTGAAGAAAGTGACCATGTGTAATCCAGCTATTACCTTTCTTATAAGTCATAACAGCTGCTTTTAACACAAACTAAACATAATTAAATGGTATGGTGAATTCATTCATAACACTTTGCTTATACCTTGTGAGGTAGGTAGGGCCTGTGTGTCTGTGTGTCTTTGTGTGTATATTTTGTTTTGATTTTGGCTGGAAATGGAAAGACACCAGATCCCAGAACACCTACTTGTATACCATAGATCCCCATGGGCAAACAACAAATATTCAATAATATGAGAGGAAAATACTAGGATAACTTTTCAATTGCCAATTTCTTTACATTTTTAAAGTTAAGTGACTAAGTAAACTCATGATTTTCATCTAGTAGGATAGGAAGGGAGTTCAAACCCCAGTGTTCAAAGGATGGGAGAGTGAATTTTAGAGCTTATGTATAGATTCTTTTTAAATTTTATTTTTATAAGAAAAGCAAACAGCTGGGTGGTGGTGGCACATGCCTTTAATCCCAGCACTTGGGAGGCAGAGGCAGGCGGATTTCTGAGTTCGAGAGTTCGAGGCTAGCCTGGTCTACAGAGTGAGTTCCAGGACAGCCAGGACTACACAGAGAAACCCTGTCTTGAAAAACCAAACCAAAAAAAAAAAAAAAAGAATTAAAAAAAAAAGAAAAGCAAACAACCTTTAAAATATGAAGAACCTTTCACACTCAAGAATTTTTTCTTCTTACATGTTCTTCATTTTTCTAAATGACTTTCTGTATATATTATGTCTAAAACTTGCTGGGTAAGAATCACTGTATTCTTTTTCTTTTTGGCTTCTGTGTGCTATAAGTTACAAATAGAAAAGTGAGGTCTGTTTCAGCCATGATCTACTTTAGCTGACAGTATACCACAATTATCAGCCACTCACCTAAACAAGAAAAAAAGCACTCACCAGTCCTGGACAGTAAGTATTAAGCCTTTGTGATACTGTTGAATTGGATCATTAGAAACTTGCTCAAGTCCCTCACAGAATCAGATCTCCATATGTGTGGACTCTGCAGAATGGTACTGTAGTTAAGAAATCGATACTAACTTAAGAAAGGACATCATACTACCTCCTCATAGGTGGAACTAGGAGGATTTGCAAACAGCACTTTAGCAATTCTTCTTTGATACCAAGGCATTTCAGCAAATGTATAGCACCTACAAGGGAAAAGATGGCATTATGCATTCAAATTGTACCTTTTTACTGAAGGAACTGAACATCTTAATGGGCATTATAAAAGGAATCTTCTGTTAAATTTTTAAATAATTTGAACTTTATATGATGAAGCTAATATTCATACTGAATTATTTGGAATAATATGATTTGAATATGATTCAGGGGTTGGATCAACTTGGTGACTAAGTGTAAACAACAGTGGTTGTTTTGTGCCAGGTATAGGCCAATATTATTCTCTTTATTTGTTCCTTAGAACAACTAAGTGATACAGGATTGCTATTACAATTTGTTTTAAGTTTTTCTTAGAGATTTAGTTATGTTAATATGTACCCCAAGCTAGCCCTGAACTACTAATCCTTCTGCCTTATGTTTGGTATTGAAGTGCTTATGCCTGGCTTACTACTACTAGTTTTGACATAAGGAAATTCAGAATTCTTTTAAATGATGCATGAATAACAATAACAGTAATTTATGCCCCTTTTTTAAAAAAAGGGTGAAGTAGATGATTAATATCCAAAAATATTTACAACTTTCTGAAGCAGGTAAAAACCTGTTTGCGATCTTTGACTAGGGACTTGAACTCCTTGAGGCATAGATTGTATCACAGGTTTGCTTACTGATTAAGTAGCTGTCCTTTGATAATTATTAATCCCATATTGGGTATTTTAATCTGAAAAGTACTTATTTCTTTTGTAAAAGAGTTTGATGAACTTTTATAACAGCAAATATTTAAAACATTTGTATGCCCTCATACAATAAAGTAATTCCTCATATTGGACAAAAGGTCACATTGAAACTTAAAGAAAGATCACATAGTTTTTCGGATTAATCAAATCTCAATCTGACAGATTTTGATGACTTCATGTGACAACCTACTGTATTTATGCTACTGCAGTTTTCCTTAGCATGGGAAATGAGGTATTTCCCCAAAAAGGAAAGATAGATAAAAGTCTACAAAAGAATTCTAAAGTATTTTTAGTTTTCTTGGGGTTTTTATTTTTCTCATGGTGAGAAAGAGGGTTTTGAGACACCATCTCATGTGAAACATCCTGCCTCCAACTCCCTATGTAGGTGATGGTGAACTTGAACTCCACATCTTCCTGGCATTTTCTAATTGTTGGGATTGCAGGCATGCACCACCATGCCTGACTACTTTGACTATGTCCTAGAGATACATGCACAAATACTATTTAGTGACTTAGTACTCAACTCTGGTAAATAGTATTTTTAAATAGTTTATATTTTTGCTTACACATAAATTATAAAATAAGATGCTTTTACATACTGTGAAAGAAAATCGTGCTAAATATGACAGAAACATTACTGAAATTTTCTTACCAAATACCCATAAGGTGAATTGAAGTAGCATCTTTTGGGTTCAGCTCAATTGCTTTCTGTTAAGAAATAAGAAAACCTTTCTAAACATCAAAGAAGCAGTAAATTAAAAAAGAAAATTATAACTCTACATTTTAAAGATGTACTTTTTTAGATGTGTATGTGTCTGTGAATAAATGTCATATATGTGGAGGTACCCAGGGAGGCTAGAAAAGGGTGCTGGGTCATTTGGAGCCGGAGCCACAAGCAGTTGTGAGCCACCTAATGTGGGTGCTGGGAACTAATTATGGGTCTTGTGGGAAAGCAGTCTCAACACTTGTAACCACTGAGCCATCTCTCTAGCCACAAACCTGCATTATAATCAGTAACAGCTTTCTTCCTCATGATGCACTTTTCCTTCTCTTCACTGTCCCCATCTCTCCCCCATGTGTGTTTACATGTGGTTAGGTAAGAAGTTAAAGCCAGATGTCTCCCTAATCATGTTCCACCTTGTACTTAAAGACAGGGTCCTTTAACCAAACCTGGAGCTTACAGACTGGTTATACTAGCTGGCCAGCAAGTCCCCAGGATCTTTCTGACATTGCTTCACCCCACACTAGAATTACAAGTTCACACCTAGCATTTTTATACTGGAAGCTAAGCTCAGGTCTTCATGCTTGCACATTAAGTATTTCATAGAGAGCCATCTTCTCAGCTCTGTATTCTTTTTGTAATGGTTTTATTTTTATGTGTATTGGTGTTTTGCCTCTCATATGAACTGTGAGTGTCAGATCCTCTAGAACTGGAATGACAGTTGTGAGGTGGCATGTGAGTGCTGGGAACTAAAACTGGGTCCTCCTGAAGAGCAGCTAGTGAGTGTTCTTCAGTCCCTAGCCTATATTCTTTTTTATTTATTTATTTATTTTTTTTTGGTTTTTCAAGACAGGGTTTCTCTGTGTAGCCCTGGCTGTCCTGGAACTCACTCTGTAGACCAGGCTGGCCTCGAACTCAGAACTCAGAAATCCACCTGCCTCTGCCTCCCAAGTGCTGGGATTAAAGGCGTGCGCCACCACCGCCCGGCCTCTAGCCTATATTCTTAATTGCTTAAATTTGTTCCAATGCATTACTAAAGACTTAAAGATAATATTTTACACATTCAGAAATTGATATAGAAGGTAAAAAAAACAAAAAACACACACAAATTAATCTAATTCTGGAAATAGTTTAGTGAAGTATAATTTTCACTGTTTCTTTAAGATAAAAGAATGCTAAATATGTCACTTTTATCAATTTTTAAATGAATATTGAAGAAATGTCTTCCTATTATTACTCACCCAAAAAAACCCTCACCAAGAAATAGGTAATTTTCTTCATATAAAAATTTTGTTAAACTCTCCCATGTATATCCAAAATAAAAGTAAAAATGGTGCTATTTATAGAACATATTATATATGTAACATGCTGATAAAATCTTTGTATTTACTGCATCAATTATTATAAAGCACACATTGTGGAAAACCTTTTAAAAAGTATTCCTATCTGCTAGTTTTATGAAAACTAATAAGGAACTCTCTCATATTGTTTATTCTGATTATTTTTATTAAAAATTTCTAATTTAAGCCCACATTTTCACTTACAGTTTGGTGATGTACGAAGAACAAAATTCAAATATTTATATTGGTTAAGGCTATGATGCTGTAGACAGACTTCTGGGACTCAAATCAGAGCTCAATGACTTGTTAACCTTGCAAATTCTTTATTTTTGTGGCAGCTAAGTTTTTGCTTTTATAAAAAAAGAAATTGGGAGTATAGTATAGTGCAGAGCACTTACCTAGCATGTTGGAGGCCTTGGGTTGGGCCCCAATGCCATGAATAAAGCAAAAGAGAAAACTGTCCTATAGTATAATGGTGAGAAGGAAGTAAATCACAAAGTGTGCTTAGCAGCAGTGCTGTCTAGTAGAATCACTGCTGTGTTCACTGTTGACAGATGGTAACAGGAAGTGAGACTTGATGGCTGTAGAATAAGGCTAGCCACGTGAGGATCTCAGGCTTTCCCAGTTTTATGTTGTGCTAGGAAGCAAAACCAGAGATCTGGATATGCTAGGCAAGCATTCTACCAAGTGGTAGATACCTAACCTTCATAATTTTTGCTACAGGGCTGTTTTCAAATAGGGCCTTTGCAGGTCTTTTTGCCATTAGTTTGCTTTCCAAAACAAACTCAAAGATGTTAATAATGCAATAATGGAAATAAAAATATCTTTTGGTATATAAACACTAAGTATAATCATATTTAGCATATTTAAACAAATACTTGAAAACTTATATGAAGCATTACAGCACTGAGTCACACACAGACTCATCCTATTCTTTGGTCTTTCTTTGAAAACTGAAAAATAGTCACTAAAATGTTTTCTATAATTCCTTAAAACTCATGTTATATGCTTAAAAGGGAGAATGGGTTGTAAAGATTCATTAGAACAAACAGCTCCGGAGCACCATGGAGATGGGGGGACTACAGAGGGAGGAGTCCCTTGTGTGACATACCTCTATATTCTGAAATACAAAGTAATAGTACTGTATTTTACTGAACCTAAGATACCAAAACCAGTGCATTGCCAGGTGTGGTGGTATATGCCTAAAGTCCCAGAATCTGTAAGGCTGATTTAGGAAGACCATGAATTTAAGGCCAGTCTGGGTTACACAGCAAGAACATTCCTTAAATAAATAAGCAAGCAAACAAAACCACCAAATCAGTATGGCACATAGTCGTTTTATGTATTATTTTTAAAAGAATAAAAATATTGCTCCTAGGGGTGGAGTGATAATTCAGCACATAGGAGTTCTTGCAGAGGATCTGAGTTTGGTTCCCAGTACCCATGTGACAGTTCGTTACCACCTCTTACTCTAGTTCCAGGGGTTCTGACACCCTCTTCTAACCTCTATAGATACTGCATGCAGTGGTGCACTTACAAACAGGCAAATCACTCAAAGAAAAATAAAGAATACAACTCCCAATTTATACTATAAGGTACTACTAATTCTCTAATGAAGTATTAATTCAGATATATTAAAATATGAAGCATATAAACATGTAATTGTAAAATGCAATGGTGCTTGTTTCAGAAGTTAGGTTTCCTGATTGCTAGTCCAATGGTATTTTTCTCTAGTAATTATGCTGGCTAGAACCTGGGACTTGTATCCATAAGCTCCTGAAGAGCTCCTGAGTAACATGCCCAGCCAATTCTTACCTGTGCTGTTGTTCTTGTGTAGTTTTGAATTATCTACAATAATAAAAGATTTTTAAATGCTGAATATTTTTCTGATAGTTTGTTCTCTGTGTGAGAATTATGAAAAGGTGTGCACATAGAATATGAAATCTATAGATTTCTATGTAATTTTTACCATTGAACAAAGGTTACTAAGCACAAGAAGATCATCTTTAGGGAGAATTTGAAACAACATAAAATATACATAGCATAATCATAAGCACAATTTTTACTACTAAGAGGGCTGTTTCAGTTGTATTGGAGTTTAACCACCAGCATTCAAACCTTCTTTCACAGAAACTGGCTCAGCCATGGTTTTTGGTTTTGTTTTCTATTTTTTTTCAGGTTTTTGTTTTGGTTTGGTTTGACACAGGGTCTCTCTGGCCTTGCACTCACAGATATTTGCCCATCTCTACTTCCAAGTGCTGAGATTAAAGGCATGTGCCACTATATGTAGCATTTTTTTAATTCAATAGAATGTTATTAATTGTGCTACAAATAGTTTGAAAAGTTTACACACTGGAACTTTTCTTTTGAAACATTCATTCTTGAAAGTCATTTCCTATATTGTAGAGAAGCTCTGGCTAGTCCAATAAACAATGACGTAAGTAAAGTGGAGGTAAGAGAGATAAGAAGCCATCTTGAACCTTTCCTAGTTGAGGAAAACATATGAAAGACCTTAACTGGGTCAAGGCAGAAGCACTAATACATCAAATTGACCAAGAAAATTAGAATAAATAATGAAGTATTATTGCTCTATTCCACTGGGATATAGATCTTGTTCTGTTTCCTTCAATGGGTCCCTAACTCCTAGGCTCAAACAGTCTCATGCCTCTGCTTTCCAAGAAGTTGGCCTACAAGCATGTAGTAATGTGTTCCATATATAATAATTGTTAAGTAAAATACACGAACTCAGAAAATATTGACTTTCTAAACAATGAACTTAAATCAGTACCTCAAAATGCTCCTTGATAACATAGGCATTTGCAATCTTAACCTTGATACCTTCATAATCTCCAACATCACTAATGCAGATTGCATACCACTAAAAGTAGGAAAAACAAAGGGTGAGAATACTTTTAATATTTTACCTGATACAAAGAAAAAGTTATATAACTACTCTTCAATAGTTATTTTCATTTAGCAAAATGTTACTTAGCATAATGATGAATTAAGAATAAAAGATACAAATAAAAGCAGACATAACCATCTAGTAACAAGAAGGTAAAACATAGCGACCTGTAATACAACGTAGAAAGTGGTGACAACTAAGACAATTGCCAATAAAATAGAGACAACACATCCAACTATAAAATTTAGATAGGTTTGTAGCTGAATGACTCATTTATCTTCTCATCTCCGTTTTCAACATCTGTATTGCTATAATAGAAACAGCCACAACTGTCAACTGTGAGGTCACTTCATAGCCACTGTTGGACCATAGACCCAAACTGAGACAATTTGAGTTTCTCTACTAAAACCTATGTGTAAAATATCTAAACTTCATAAAATCAGGTGCTTTGGAGACTCACTAGATTTAGGGTAGGATTTGGGGGAAAAAAATCTTCAGTAAAAAATATCTATGAAGCCTCAGAACAGTTGGGCTAGTTTTTCTTGGATATCAGAAGGACCTGTCTTTGAATTCTGTACCTATAACAGTTTCTTATTATTTCTGCTCTCTGTGTGAGCTATTTGTATAAGATACTAATAAACACAATAAAAATATATAAATTTACTTAAATCTACTTTCCACAGAAGCTTTTTGTGTTCTGTCATGTTTACTGAAAATGGCACATTTTGAAATGCATACATACACATACTTCTCTGCAGACTATTATCATTTAGTCTCCATTGTTATCCAGTTGTATAAATTCTGTCTATTAGAAGGGTTACCCAGGATTTTATACAGGATTTAAAGGTCTTCTCCCACATATCAGAGCTATTGCATAAAATAATCCCTTATGAGGAGGTAAGGGTATATAGTTCAGTGTGTTGGGCTATCATGTGCAATCCACTATACCAAAACCACAAAAATTTTTTTAAAAAGATATTTATTTCATGTGTATGGGTGTTTTATCTGTATGTATGTATATGTATCATGTGTGTTTATCTGAGGGCAGAACAGGGTGTCAGACTCCCTGGAACTGGAGTTACCATGTGCTGCAAATGGAACAAGACTAACAAGTGTTCTTAACCTCTGAGCCATTTTTCCAGCTTCCAGAAATTTATTTATGTATTTATTACCTATACTTAAAACAAACATGGTGGTTCCTAAGCATTTTCTCCTTGATGAGCTTGTCATTTATAAAATCTATTCTTCAATGCTTACACTATCAAGAATGGATATCAAGAAGTATGTTAACTGATGTATTCTATCTCCATATCTATCCATTTCAACTTATAAAATGCTCACTATCTGCAACGGGTCTACATTTAAACTTTTGGGTTTGTGTGTGTGTGTGTGTGTGTCTGTCTGTCTGTCTGTCTGTCTGTGTCTATGGTGTATGTTGGGGAGGGGCTGGGGGTGAAGAACTCATGGAGAGCTGGATCAGGAAGGAGGGCAACATTTGGAATGTAAATAAATAAAATAATTAATAAAAAGTAAATAACTGAATTGATATGTAAATACAGACTGGGCTTTTGGTCTACATAGATGAGCTAGCAGAAAACAATATCAGTTCTTCATTAGAATTTTTCTCTAGTATAAGCTGATCTGTCTAGAGATCTCTGGAGAGCAAAACCAGCTCTTCAAGAATTTTCTCTAACAGGATAACGTCAGAAATCCCAAGAATTACTTAGAGAGACGACACAGCTCTTTTAGAATTTTTCTGGCTTTCTGATTTTGATCAGAAAACCCAAGCATTACTTTTAGAATTTTTCTATCAGGATTTCTGACTTGGTCAGAAGATCCAAGAATTTTTAATAGCAGCTTTTCTAACTTTGGTCATAAAGCCCATGAGCTATACAGAGAGCTTTTAGAATTTATACAAGCAGAGAGAGCTGTGTCAACCAGAGAGTTTTTAGAATAGCAATAAAAAGCTGTGTAGAGCAGAGAGAGAGAGAGAGAGAGAGAGAGAGAGAGAGAGAGAGAGAGAGAGAGAGAGAGAGAGAGAGAGAGAGA